ATTCTCTTTTAAATCTGGATGCACGTAGCGGTATAGAGGAGGCACGGCCCTAACAGGCATTTACTCTGTCTGACGACTATGTGTTAGCACAGAGGGAAGCTGAGGTCTGGGAGCTGTCACATTTCTATGAGTTGTACTGCAGTTAGGTCAGGGACTAAAGTGCCCAGCTTGTCACACAAGCTTTCTGCTGCAGAACAGTGAGATGGCCGCTTTGATGTGGCAGTCTGCACAAACCTCAGACATAGAGACATAATGAAATGCCTGAGATTTCGGCATATCGAAAAGAAATTCCTCATTTTTCTTGAGTCTCTTTGAAAATTATCTTTAATCTAGCATTCTAGTTACATGCTGTGGAAATAGCTTCTCTTTGCTCATTGAAGACACTGCATAACTTTTAATCCTGGATAAAATTTCTTGAAGGAGCAGGGTTCTCACTGGCTCAATTGGAGAGCTATGGAGGAGCCTGCGTTACCTCTCCCAGGAAATCCCGTCAAACTACAAGGCACTTTGGCAATGACAGCCTACCAGTGAGCTATCCGCTGGAATCAGGTCCCAGTGTCCATGTGTGTGTGTGTGGCAGGGTTGGGGTGGGAGTGAATGGGAGGGAGAGAAATGCCATCGAGCAAGGGCTACCAGTCAACCAGAAGTCCTTGTGCTCAACAGCGCCATGGGCACAATAGTGGCTATTATCAGAAGCGCGTTTTCCTCTTCCCAATTCTGGCGTTCTGGGATTGTGGAGGATCCAGGACAAATATAAGTGCTTTCAGGGGCAGGGATCACTGGTTCTTGATTTGGGGAAAAGGGGAAAGGGAGTATCCAGCTCCGCCATTAGGCACTGATAGCCTTTTGTTTGAGAGACACCTTCTACCCACCAGCTAACTGTGTGATGCCTAGAACTAAACACAATAAGGCCTAACCAGTGATCTATAAAGATACTGCCTTGCTTTTGTATGCAGTGCTTCTACTTATAAAGCCAAGGATTTCATGCACTATTTTGTTTTTAAAAGCAGTTTTATGTATGTTTCTTTGCCACTTTCTGCATCTCTCCACGCTGAATCTCTTCCTTTCTCCTTTAAAAATGAGACCAGCAAATTTATCTAATAACCTATATTTAAAATGGTTCCATCTAGTTTATATTACTTTTCCTTATTAATTTGCTTGCATCTGTCCATTTTAACAGTCTTTGGACTGAATGCCCTTCTGAATTCAGTCCATTCTATCATCTGCCAGGTCATGCTAACAAAATTCCAATCCAGGTAATTTATTTAGTATATTTACATGCAGCTGTTGCTGTACTTTACTTTCAACTCTTCCAACATTATATGGCTTTGCTCTCTGTCTCTAATATTTTTTCAAGGACACGTTTGAACCATCAAGCTGTGAAATATAGTGTTGATTATTCTGGCTGCAGAATCTAGGTCTCTGTGACAAATGAGTTCATCAACATGGTATTCTTGGGTACAAAGACCTACTAAGGATTTTTTTTGTATGCGAAAATGAAAATGAATCAAATTCAATGCAAGAACCTTGATTTACTCTGAAGATTAGTTACTGAAATAAAGACATAAAATGCTGGAAATGCTCAGCAGGTCAGGCAGCATGTTTGGAGACAGGAACAAGTTTAACATTGCACGTTGATCACTCCTTGTCAGAACTGAATTGAACAGGTTTTAAACAAATACTGAAATGGGGAAGGAGCCTCGAAGCAACAATAAAATGAAGAAATTAGGTGAAAGCAGGCAGGAGGGTGGTCAACAGTTGTTGAGTTCAGTTAAGTTTAACAGTTGGCCGTGAGAACCATTGCTCCCATTTCTTCAGACAGCAGCTTTTGGTGATGATCCTGTTGTTGTTCATTACTGCTCCTTGAGAGACCCATCTATTGCTTCTTTATTGTACAATTTCCATGTCCTCTTTGCCTTGCCCCACCTTTTTGTCACTCAGGTCTGGATATTGCATGCCTACTCGGGTTGTGTTTTCAGCATGGAGACATGTAAAATAGGGTAAATGCATAATGCATCAACAAAAAATATTTTTAATTAACCTGTAGTGACATGTTGTGACACACCTCTTAAGTAGGTTACATTTGAACCTAGATCGTGTTGTCCAGAGGTAGGGATATTACTACTCCACCACAAGTGCCCTAGGACCACCTGCCATTTAGAAATCAATAATGTGTGATCATTTGAGCTTGTTAGAGGCTCAGTTGATGCAATATTACCCTGCCCATGCTGTAAAAGGTTGGTGTGGGCAAATTGTGGGAAGATGCAGTCTGTTTTTGTTTTAAATGGTTTTAAAATCATGGGAAGGAGGGGATGTAATAGTTTAATACATTTGGTCAATCAGAGGACACCTAGAGTAAACAGCACTCTCATTCCTTCATACTTGTATATATATCAAAACCTAACCACCACTGCCATCGTGCCCGTCAGTCCTTATAAGGTGGGCCAAACCTCTCCAACCGATACCTCCCGGAGCTATCCACTCAAAGGATCCATGGTTGTCATTTTCATGGCTCTTCCCGAAGTATTGGCAGGACCCACTACCGAGTACTGGTGCTGCTGGGTTGGTTAGTACTGCCGGCTAACCCAGATTGGATGGCAGAGTGGGATTTCTTCCAAATCTGTGAATGCCATATCATTGCTACCAGGCTGACATTTTCTTCACTGGTCAGTCCACCCCACTTACCAGAATGCTTCAGCCTGAATTCTCTCCTGTCATCCACACCCATTGGTTCTTTTTCTTTATTCCTCCCTCCCTTCATTCTTCCTCTGTACATACTTAAAGCCTGTTTTATCCTAAATTTCTTCCATTTTCAATGACTTGAAATGTTGCCTGAATGGACTGAGTAATGTCAGTGGTGGGGTGAGGTGGGGGTGAGGTGGGGAAGGTGTATTTGTGTGTTATGGTGATGGGTGTTTGGTTGGGTATGGGAGTAGAGTGGTGAGTAGTGTGGGGGTAGGTGTGGAGTTGAGTCTGAGGGTTTGGGGGTGGGTTTGATGGTTTGAGTGGGGTTGGGGATGGTGTGATTATATGTGTGGGGTGGTGTGTTGTGCAGATGTGGGTGGGGGCGAGGGTGGTGGGGTTGGTATCTCTAAACTACAGAAAAAGGATTCTAAATATTCCTGTGTGAAGGTCAATATTTTCTTTTGCTTAACCTTTACTGCATAGCACAGACAATTTTTAAGAGTTAAACCATAAGATGATCCTACTACAGTGTTACTGTGAATCAGTGCCCTTCTACAATGGCATGAGTGACACAGGAAATAGATCCAATTGTAACTCCTAGATTTATCCTAATAGGATACTGTTATGCAATGGAGAAACTCAGCCACCAGTACCAATCATTAACTTTAACCGCCTCGGTTCCCGACCATCTAACTTCTCAAAGCTAATTAGAAATGGACAGTAAATGATGGCCTTGTCAGCAGTGTCTACATTATGCGGATAAAGAAAACTATTCCTTTGTGGGTAAAATTTCACCATATTACTCTCTCCATTCAACCTCACACATCTCTATATGTCACCTGTGCTGTCTAACTCACTCACTCAGGACACCTCCCCATCCACACCTACAGTAACAGCAGTGCCACCCACTTTAATCTCACATAATGCCCATTTCTTTTTCATTCCAGGAGGAAAGCAGGCAGCAATTGGGCAAAAAGAATCAATATGTGTGGTGTGCTGCCCGTCATTTGGCTCCTCACCCCTTAGGAAGAGGGGATCCTGACTTTGACCACCCTGAGGGGGACATGGACTGGTATTGATGGTTGCCCTTGACTTACTGGGCTGGGAACCCCTAATTGAAGGCTATCCCCCTTGACATGACCGAGGCCTTCAGATAACTACGACAAGCTTCCTGCCTTTGTGTCTGTGCTAAATGTTAAGGCAGGATATCAGCGATATGAGCTTAGTATCTCTGGCTAAGAGACAAAATATAAAATGACAAAGCAAAGCAGGGATGCTATGAGCATCCAGGTAGGCTCAGCGTGAGCAAGCGCTATGACAGCAAGCAAAGAACCCAACGATGCAGCTTGGTCCACTTTGTGAGCTGGGTGTGTGCTCTGAGCACCCAGTGTCCTTGCTGCAGCAATGCTATGATAGATGCAAGTGCAGCCTAAAGTGTAGCGCTGAAGTGCAGAAGCATCCTGTGAATAGATTGGAGATGTGACATGAGGGTGCTGAGAGTCTGGCAGATGACAGATGCAATATCTGTGAACGTATGAGTGGCATGTGCCTATGGAGTGTGCCTTAAGATTTAGGTGCCCAACATGGAGGTTGTTTGGAGCAAGTGGTTAGTTGTACCCGCCAAGAACCCGCTCTGCTTTCCATGCCGGGTTTTACCAATTGCTAGTTTGTTTGGTGAGTTTTGTAATATTGCAACCGGAATATTCATTTGGTGAGCTGGACTGTTCACAAATCTTTTGACGAGAAATAATGTGCATCAATTGGGAACTTGCCACTGCCTAGCGAGAATTTTGCAATGCTGTTGGAGAAAGAGGTATAAGCTAAAGCAAAATGGCATCAACATTGAGATGGCCCCACCAATTATCACACCCAATTCTGCTCCCACATTTCACAAATGCACACAATACGCAAACTTCTGTAAGATTCCATTTAGATGTTCAACATTCACATAAATATCAGCAAAACATATGTTCTGTTTACAATAACATAAGTTTAAAGAATTGCATTCACTTTCCTTGTCCATTAAAAGCTAATTAAATAAAAGACTAAAACTGCAGGTATGTGGTTTAACTCAAAGGTTGTGTCATAACTAAGTTTAAATATAGTAAAACAGGACAAATAACTATAGTTTATTGATGTATCCCATGTTTCAATTATATTCCCTTTCTGAAGATTTTCCTGTCAGTAGTTTCATAACTGGGTTAATTTTGCTTTGATTTTTTTCTCTTCCAATTATACAATGTTGAAAACATTATTGTTCCTTCTACATCAGCAGTGATCTTACATTGCTTCGTAGCGAGCAAAAAGTTTACATTCAAGTTCCTGAATAAAGTGCCTGCATGAAAATAACTGGAAGCCCTCCAGCAAAGGCGCAGTCCTCTGAGTATTGCAATTTTAGAGCTATCAACCAAGCTGGTAAGTAAATTGCGAATGGCTGGATGAAAATGATCATTCCAATTGTTATTTTTGTTTGCTTAATGTGAAAAACGTAACCTCATTTTATTTGTGATATCTTATTCTAATGCCATGAACACATTGGTTTTGGCTTGTTGCAAAGACAAGTATAAAAATTCTTTTTCGAAACAGTAACCTTCTCCTTTAGCTGTAGCATATTGCATAAATATAAGCCTTGATTTAGAAGCATAAAACTGAGCTTGGTAAACTAAATCAAGTGAAAGTGATTATTTTGATACAAAAAGATTATGAAAAATGTATAGTAACCGGAAAAGCTGGATATTGTGACTGAGCCCTAGAAATGTTTGAACAGTGGTCCTGACTTATTAAGGAGGCAACTTTGTTGCTTTTCAAAATAATATTCAAAGTCTAAAGCAAAGAAAGAAATTATCTTAATGCAAACATTGTACTTACCAAGACTGGTGTCAGAAAATATTGTACCAGGTTCATCAAGGAGGATATCTAGGAATTCAATGTTCCATGTAATAGTTTTTCTTTAAGCACATATCATCCAAATAGAATTAAATTCTTGTTGATACAAAGTATCACTAGATATTAGAACTGTTCATTTGTATATTTTCCCCGAATATTCCATTTCATTTAGAGAACATACACAAAGTAGTTGGTGTTAACAAACAGAAGCCCTAATATACACTGGCTTTTTGTTTATTCAAATCTCATTTCTTTTCCTTGTGTTTTCCATTTATCTTGGAATTAAAAAGAATATCATTCATTTCTTCATTTTGACATGCAGGAATAGGAGAATACCTATAATCTGAATGTGATTTATAATTTTTGCACATCTTAAATAAAGCTTTGAGGATGTAACTGTGTGAGTACATTAAGTTGATCTATTTGCCCTCCAACATATAAGGTACAGGTATAGTTAATGCTTGTTTCAAATGGTATTTTTAATTCACTGGCGAAAGATTTACCATCGAGGTAAACCATTGATACAATTTGTGCAGCCGTGGAAATATTGCATGAATCATCTTTGATACACAATTTTGCATTTATTATCTGGCTTTAAAGTACTAGATGAGGAATCACTGCCCATTTTTCTTGCTGCCCTGAATAGAGTCATGGAGTCCTCCAGCTCGGAGATAGGCCCTTCGGCCAAAACGGGCTACACTAAGCCCATTCCCGTGCACTTGGCCCATATCCTTCAAACCTTTCCTATCCATGTATTTGTCCCAATGCCTTTTAAATGTTGTTAATGTGCCCACCTCAACTACTTCTGCTGGCAGTTCATTCAATTGTGTACCACCCTCTGTGTAAAAAAGTTGTCCTCAGGTTCCCATGTATTCTTTCCCCTCTTACCTTAAACTGATGGCCTCAAGTCCTTGATTTCCCAACCCTGAGAAAAAGACTGAGTGCATTCACCTATCCATGCCTCTCATGATCTTACACACTCCTTTAAGATCTCCCCTCAGGCTCCTATGCTCTAAAGGAAATGTCCTAGCTTGTCCAGCCTCTCCCTATACCTCAGTCCCTTGAGTACCAGCAACATCTTTATAAATTTCTCCTGTACTCTCCACTTTAATAATATCCTTCCTATAACAAGGTGACCAAAACTGAACACAATGTTCCAAGTGTGGCCTCACCAACGTCCTGTACAACTGCAACATAACTTCCCAACTTCTGTACTCAGTGCTCTCTGAATGATGAAGGCCAGTGTACCAAAAACCTTCCTCACTGCCCTGTCTACCTATGACTCCACTTTCACAGAACTGTGCACCTGAACTCCAAAGTCCCTCTGTTCCACTACACTCCTTAAGGCCCTACATTCACCATGAAACTCCTACCTTGACTTGACTTTCCAAAATGCAGCACCTCACACTTATCGATATTAAACTCCATTTGCCATTTCTCGGCCCACTTCCCCAGCTGATCGAGATCCTGCTGGAATTTCTGATAACCTTCCTCACGGTCCATGATACCGCTTATTTTAGTGTCATCCACAAACTGACTAATCATGCCTTCTACATTCTCATCCAAGTCATCGATATAGATAGCAAACAGCAATGGGGCCAATGGGCTCTCCCTGAATTCCATACGATCTACCCTTCCAGAGCAGCCTACCATGTGGAACCTTATCAAAGTTGAAATCCTTGTAGACTACGTCTACCGCCCTGCCCTCACCCTAATAAATTTGTGAGACCTGATCTCCCACGCACAAAGCCATGCTGACTACTCCTAATCAAACCCTGTCTTTCTAAATGCATGTATATCTTATCCCTGAGAATCTTCTCAAGTAACTTAGCGACCACAGGTGTTAAGCTTACTGGTCTATAATTCCCAGGATTTTCTTTGCAGCCCTTCTTGAATAAGAGCACAACATTCACTACCCTCCAGTGTTCCAGGACCTCACCCTTGGCGAATGATGATGCAAATATATCAGCCAGGGTCCCCGCAATTTCTTCTCTAGCCTCTTGCAGGGTTCTTGGATATATCTGATCAGGACCAGGAGATTTATCCACCTTCATATATTCTAATACTTCCAACATCACCTCTACTGTGGTAACTATTTAAACTTTATAGCAAAAACAAATCAGTAAAATAGCTGAATTTCCACAATTACCCTTAGCGTCAACCGTGGCTTAGAGTCATCTCTGGCTTTATTGTGAGCTGTGGCTCACTTGGTGACATTCTTCCATCTAAGTCACAAGGTTCTGGGTTTATGTCCCACTGCAAGCCTTGGGCACAAAAATCTAAGTTTACACTCTGATACAGTCCTGAGGGAATACATTGAAGGCTCTGTCCTTTGAAGGAGATATTAACATAGGCTCCACCTGCCTGGCAACTACATGCAAATAAAATATTCCATTGTGTGTGTGTGTGTGTGTGTGTGTGTGTGTGTGTGTACATTTGTATTGGGGGAGGAGGCGTGGCTGTTATGACTGGTGTCCTGGGCAATATTCATTGCTCATTACAGTCCATTAGTAAGGATGAGATTACAGGATACTTAAAAGTGTATGGTAAAATAAGGCTGAGTCAGCACGGCTTGATCAAGGGGATGTCCTGTCTGACAAATCATTAGAATTCTTTGAGGAGGTAATGAGCAAGTTAGACAAAGAAGAGCCAGTGGAAGTGATCTATTTGGATTTCCAGAAGGCCTTTGATAAGGTGCCACATCAGAGATTGCTAAATAATGCAAAAGCCCATGATGTTAGGGGCTAGGTACTGGCATAAATAGAGGATTGGTTAACTGGCAGAAAGCAGAGAGTGGGGATAAATAGGTCTGTTTCGGGATGGCAGCTGGTGACTAGTACAGTTCAACAGGAGTCAGTGTTGGTATCACAATTATTTGCATTATACATTAATGATCTGGTTGTTGCTAATTTTACAGATGACCCAAAGATAATTGGAGGGACAGGTAATGTTGAGGAAGTGGGGGGTGCTGTAGAATGACTTGGACAAGCTAGGAGAGTGAGTAAAGAAATGCAGATGGAATACAATGTGGAAAGTGTGAGGTTATGCACTTTGGTAGGAAGAATAGAGGTATAGACTATTTTCTTATTGGAGAAAGACTTCAGAAATCTGAAGCACAAAGGAAATTTGGAGTCCTAGTTCAGGATTCTCTTAAGGTTAACATGCAGGTTTAGTTGGTAGTTAGAAAGGTGAATCAATGTTCACATTCATTTCAAGGGGGCTAGAATACAAGAGCAAAGATATACTGCTGAGATAATATAAGGGATAGCAGGAACTGCAGATGCTGGAGAATCTGAGATAACAAGGTGTAGAGCTGGATGAACACAGCAGGCCAAGCAGCATCAGAGGAGCAGGAAGGCTGATGTTTCGGGCCTAGACCCTTCTTCAGAAA